AGCTGGACAAGTACCTCTTTCCGAAGATACTTTGGCATTTTGGCCCCCCCTCCAAGTGGTCTTCTGGGTACGGGGAGGGGAGTAGGCGGGCACGGTTCTCCCCCCATCATGAATAAGACCCTAGGAGCGGAATCGAGCTCTGCTCTTTGATCGATGATCGTCGTCTGGGGCAGAGAGTGGGGACCGGAGAGGGGACCATATGGTGAGATGTGTGCGTGTGGCGCCCCGATCACCTCTTCGCTTCGCCGTGGCAGACTCCTGTTGGAAACTTGGCGGTGCTGTATGCGAGAGCAAGTATGTCATTGGAGTGTAAAGAAGGCATCTTGTTGAGCTTTCCAAGCTTACCCATCCAACAGTCCGGTGCTCAAGATGGTGACACAAGCCACAGCAAACACCATCCTCGAATCGAAACCATATCTGGACCACCATCAAACCGTAAGGCTGTCAATGTCTTATTGGCCTCGAACGTCGGAACGTCAAAGTTCTCCATTATGATCACGTATATTTGGGGACACATGCCTCGGCCGTCAACGCTTTCAAGGAAGTACGGTATTACTGACGTCGAAGACAGGCAGCTGCTCTCACACTGTTGTCATGTAGCCTTCAGTCGGGCGCGCTGATGAGAGCCTCGTGCCGAATGTGGCACCGCGTAATTCTGACGTGATAATGGTAGTGATACCAAAGGCCCAAAGTACGGTGGTTAGCGTGAGGCTAATCGACGTAGTGTCCGCTGTCCAAATGCCTCCAGGTACGACGTTGATATGCAGTGCCTGCTGAACCTGACCACACCTACTTGCCTCGTGGCTCAGCCAGCCACCGTTTCGGAGGGGCTGCTGAAAAGAGACAGTAACTCGGCTAGCGCCTAGAGCCTAGAAATAGGCAGAACCCCAAAAATCAGTCTTCTTTGCCGACGGAAGTTTCTTTTTCTCCATTGCAAGGGTAGCTGGGGCGTAAGCATGCGCCGCAGCTCTGCGGCGGCCGCCCGAGGCACTGTAACCGGGCTCAGAATTAAGGCACAACCTCGTTTCTAGTGGGGTTCGTCCGAATGGAGTGCCTGGTCGAGAAGAGATTCTCAAGTGGTTTGTAAGATGCGGTATTTGCCGTGATGGAGGCTCTGCGACGGTCAAATTCTTGACGGAGTTGTCCTCGAAAACGGCATGCGATCTGCTGTGGGGTCAGAAAGACCCTTGGCTTGCACCAACATGAGTCACCTGATGCCCAAAGACCTTGTCTGACAAGTGAGCCCTGCCAGTCTTACTGGCGTGGGACTGAGTCGAGGATGCAACGAGATAGTCGTATTCGCTTTCTTGTTGTTGAATTAACCGGTTGGACGGGTGGCGCGGCTGGTAATCAAGCTGGGTGCAGATCCAGTGGACTTTCTAGCGTAGTGTTCATCTTCAATCACGCCTAGGAAGGCTGATGATTTGCGTCAAACTGCAAGTTGAATCTGGTCTTGTACTACCAAGAGCTCCTTTGTGCCTCGGAAGTGATACTCTAGCAACTGTGGAACAATGTTGTTGCCATACCTGAGTCTCTGCACTGAAGGACCCGATACGGCCGCAAGCCACAGGTTCCAGACCGGCTGCTAATAATGGATTGTTTCGGTGCCGTGATTCTTGAGGCGTGTCGATTGATCGCCATCCGATTAACGCAAGATAACACGCGGATCCAGCAGCTGGTGTCAGCCCTAAGCTTCTCTGGGTGACGGTCGCAGCATGTTGGCCCTGTCGCAACCCTGTGGCGTGAGTGCGTTTACCGAAGTCCCAGGGGCCACTTGAAACCGACCTGGCAATGTTCACTCTGCGTGGCACCAACATCATCGTCTCGCTGAAAACGACTCAGTTGGTTGCGTACGTGAACCTGTTGGTTGGCTCCAAGGGACCTTGGCGCGGGCCGGTGATAGGACCTTTTCAGGTGATCTAAAAGCCGACGATGCCGCTCAGGTCATGTCCGCGTGAGGTGGCAGGATACAGGGTGGCATCCGCTGCAAACCTCACGCAAAACGTAACGGCCTCATGTAAGTTACTGGGGGACTTTCAGAGTGCGAGCACCCCGCTTCATGATGTTCTTCCGTGGTTCGCTCTTGGCAATCTCTCAATGTAGTGCACTCCGCGAGTCGAAATGTTTCTGATTTGTGGGACAGGGGGCACATGCAGATGTTGCCCGGCAGCGTAAGCATCGTCAGCACTAGGCCCGACGCGGGACTTGGGTGACATGAAGCATGACGGCTGGAGATCGTTGGGAGGCACAGATGGAGGGACAGGTTTCTCCAATTCCCTGCAAATCTAACAGTTGTGGATCAATTGTGTGCTTGATAGATGAGTCGAACAAGGGCGTACGGAACGGCTAGGAGGCGTCGATAACCGAGACCAAGGCCTGGACAGGCCACTCCGTTGGAGTCATACAGCAGAAGACTGATATTGAGAGGCAACTCGGGCCGTGGTGTAGTCTTGAATCTTGGACGTGTTCGGTCCGTAAAAGCCAGGGAAGCACTCCGAGAAGAGGCAATGAGATAATGCAGGGAGACTTATTGAAAGATGCTTCCAAGACTGAATGCAAGGCGGCAACGGGACAAGGTAATCTCTGCAACGGAGGTTGAAAAACCCCTCATTAGTGCGAGCCGCTGTTGACGGTAGGTATCCGGGGTATTGCTTCGAATTCTGTGAACGTCACAATTATCTGCATGAGATCGAGTCCTGGGTCTGTCGAAGAATTTCCCGCTAGACTTCCAAGTTGCCCGGATGCCATAGCTACACCCCCCAGTGATCTTCGCAGGGATGATAACGGAACTGCACCTTGAACGGCAGCTCGTGCTCCCGCGCCGCTCCAACAGCCCACTAGGGCTACTGCAGGTCGTCTTACGCTGCATGGAAGCAATACCAGCAAAAAGCCAGCACACCGTAGACACTCGTAAGTGAGCCAACCACAAGGGCTCCTTCGGACAGCGGATCCCACGGTTGTCGAACCCGAGGTCAAAGCGTTGCTCGAGCAGACGGATGATAGCCGGCGCGGTTCAAGTTGGAGGCACACGATGCAGCCGGCCTGATTAGGATGCAAATTCCCTGTACATGGCTTGGCGCAGGTGTGATCCAGATATCAAGAGCATATGATGTGAGGGGGGTGGATCACAGCAGCCGTGACAACTTGCTGGGAACTGGGATGCGGCGGTTGAAGTCGATGACCAGGCAGGCTGACGTTGATTGATGTGACATCGCGAGACGCTTATGGTGGAGCGTACAAGCCGCCAGCCTTGATGTAATGTGATGGAGGCATTTAACTACCTGGGGCGCCTTTGGGGACCGAGGGAAAGAAGTTGGGCTGTTGGAGACGCTCCCGGTTCCTCTTGGCAATCTCCATCTGGCGCTTTTTTTCGAGCCTCATTCCATAGAAGTTTCTGACGGCAGATGGTTAGCGTCGCATGGGCATATGCAGGACCAAGAGATCATCTACTTGTGGAGCGTGAATACTCGGGGCTCTTCTTCCGTGGATGGAGTTTCGGTGTCGGCACCGTCCTAGACAGCTGTCAGCCGAAGCTCGGGGAAACATGTACGATGCCTCGGAGTCTAGTCCGATATCCATGGCAAGGCTGGGGCTTTTACCTTTTCAGCGGCCTTGCTGTCGTCATCCTTCTTCTCGTCGTCAGCCTTCTTTTCGTCCTTGTCTTTCTCTTTCTCCTTCTCCTTGTCTTTCTCCTTGTCCGCGTTCTTGTCCTTCTCGTCCTTCTCCTTCTTCTTCTTCTGTTTCTCTTCGTATTCTTTCTTGACCCGCTCAATTTCTTCTTCCATCTGCTTCTTCTTCTTTGCTTCGACCGCCTCTTTGTCAATGATCGGGGAGCAGAAGTTCTTGTCCTTCAAATGGCTCGGGCAGACGTAGAAGAAGTCCTAAGACAGAGTCAGATGTGGTCAGCGTTGGGCGTCGCAGCAAGCGTATCGCCCACCTTCTTCTCGTCGGCAACAAGAACACTACTCGTAGCTCGATAGCAGACGTCGCATCCCTTGGCGGCGTTCTCAGCTACCTTTCGGTGGGTGTAGACGTTAGCGAACGACATAATGGCGGGCGCTGCGAGTGCGGCTGGGGAATCGGTCGTAGGAGGCGTGGATGAGCGCCGAGAGATATCGCACTGTGTCCAGGCAGGCGTCTGAGTGTGTCAACCGAAGAGTGGCTGGCGCGTAGTGGTCGCGTCGAGAAGGTAGAGGTGAACGTCGAGGCGTGATGTGGGAGGTGACGATGGCAGGAGGTGACGATGGCAGGAGGTTAGGTTCTTGTGCCGGTGGGGGCAAGGAAGCAGCCGGCGGTGTTGCCGCTGGAAATGGAAAAGCCAACCGCGGGGTGGCTGCTGCTGTCAAATCAGCACCGGCTGTAGGGGCTTCGGCTGGCGCATCCTCCACTGTGACGTCGGGCTTTCAGGGGAAAGCTGAGCCCTTCGGATGGTCAAAGCTCCCCTTAGCTCGCGATAAGGTCAAAGATAAGACAAGGCTGAGCTTCTGCGTCTCTGCCGATAATTAAGAATTCATAGGGTTTGCGGGTACAAACGACTCAAGAACCTTGCAACACTCTCCGCTCCCTCTCCGGACAATTGAAAGACTGCACTTGATCGAAAAGTCAATTAAGTCACTGGCTTTGAGTTTCTCTTGCACAAGTTGCTGCCAGTTTCTTATTTTCTTGACTCGAATACTAATTGGACCCCCCTCGGCCGAATACCCCTCAACACAACCGTCACGATGGCTTCAGGCTCAAAACCGGCTGAGAACAAGCTGTGCGGAGGTCGCTTTACTGGTTCTTTATTGCTGTTGTCTTTGCACTGGCTGCAAGCGAGGGCATTCACCGCTCATCGTATTGACAACTGCTCGATACCGACATGAAACTGACGACACCTGGGACCCCTCCATGGAGCAATGTAACGAAAGTATTCACTTCGACAAGCACTTTCACAGCAGGCTATCTAAGGCAGCATTGCCTTCGCCCGCGCAAACTTCAACAACGGCATTCTAACTCAACACATGTTCGAGGAGATCGAGGAGGGCCTGCTGGAAGTCGAGAAGGAATGGGAGGCTGACAACTTCAAGATCGTCCAGGGTGATGAGGGTATGCATGCTGCCGCTACTACAAGAAAGTCAATTCAGATGCTGACGCTGGAAAGACACTCACACTGCCAACGAGCGCAGGCTTGGCGAGATCATTGGCAAGTACATTGCCGGAAAGCTTCACACCAGACAAAGCCGCAACGAGCAGGTCGTCTGCGAAATGCGCCTGTGGCTCCGCGACTCGAGAAGCACCTCATCAACTTCTTTACGGTCACCGCCGACCGAGCAGAGAAGGAGATCGACTACATCATGCCCGGTTACATCCACCTGCAGCGCGTCCAGCCCGTCCGCTGGAGCCACTGGATGCTTTCCCACGCCGTGGTTTTTGCCGACGACCTCGAGCGCCTCCACGAGATCATTAAGCGTGTGAACAGGAACCCATTGGGCTGTGGTGCACTGGCTGGCAACCCCTTCAACGTCGACCGCGAGGCCATCTCCAAGGAGCTCGGCTTCGAGCGCCTGCTATGGAACTCTATGGCCGGTGTTGCCGACCGTGGCTTCGTCACTGAGTTCCTTACATGGGGCTCTATCTTGATGCAGCATGTCTCTCGCTGGTCTGAAGATCTGATTATTTACTCCTCTGGCGAGTTTGACTTCGTTCGCCTCGCCGACGCCTATTCAACGGGTAGAATCCTCATGCCGCAGAGGAAGAACCCTGACAATTTAGGGTCCGAGTGGCCGTGTCTTTGGCCAGACGGCCGGCCTCATGATGACCCAGAAGGATCTCCCCAGCATCTATAATAAAGACCTCCAGGAGTCCTGGGAGCCGGTGCTCGGTCACATCAAGACCGTCAGCGACAGCATCCAGATCGCCGAGGGCGTCCTTACCACCCTCGACACCCAACCCCAGAAGATGAAAGCGGCCCTCGACCCCTTCATGCTCGCCACCGATCTGGTCGACTACCTTGTCCGTAAGGGCGTGCCCTTCCACGAAACCCACCGCATTTCCGGCCGCTGCGTTGCTCTGCCGGAGAAGACGGGCATCCCGATGAATGAGCTCTCCTACGAGCAGCTCAAGGGCGTCGACGCCCGCTTCGAGGACATTGCAGAGACCTTCAACTACGGGAGGCGAGGGCTTCCAAGGGCGGAACCAGCAGGTCCAGCGTCCTCGAGCAGATTGCTGTTCTCCGTGCCTCTCTGCAGTAGATGAGCGGTTTTTTTCCCCCATCAAAATGATGTAGGGCGTCCGAGGTTCACTGGCAGCGAGTCATACGTAGGTCATGGTTTGGACGTGTGGGAATAGCCTACGACAAAAAGCGAACGGCAATCAAGAACCCAATAAACTTGAGATGAAAAGCCGGAAACGATGTACGTGTGTCGATAGAAGAACCTCCAAGACATTTTCCGAGTATCGATGAACAATGCCCATTGTTCCATTGGATGTTCGACGTAACGATTCAGTACCAAATGAGCCAGCAGCTTGGAGAGAAAAAAGGGGGCGCCAGGTGCGCCAAGCTGGAGAGGCACTTTAACCGAGTTAAATCCGCCAACGGCAGGCAGTTTGCAGCACAGCTCAGTGTAAGGTAGTGCGCCGCCCATGCAGCAGCTCCAACACGTCACAACCCAAAAATTCAGATCGACGTCGCGTCGAAAAAACATCTTCAAATCCGCCCAGCAAAAACACCACCGAATTTCCCACTGTCGTCCACTCACCCGAGATTCCATTTAAATCGTCAGAACAATTCCCGACCCGCACCTTGGACGGCAAACATTTCGAAATTTCCTTAACATGTCCGGCCTTGACAGCCAACGGCTGGGAGCCGTCTTCCACTCCCGGCCAGATATTCTGAAAGGGATTGCGAAGGCAGCTGGTACGTTTGACAGTCCCAATTGCCCATCTTCTGGTTTTCGAGGCACTCAAACTGACCTTCGCTACAACCAGATACCCCCGACCGAGTAGCCCTCTTCAACAACATCGCCAGCTTCGTACATGAGCAAATTCACGGACCAGAGCCCGCCTCGAAGCGCAGGCGGGTAGACGAGGGCCCGGCAAATGGCTTCAAGTCCACAAATGCGAACGGCAAAGCTGCAGCAAGCGCGCCCAAGGCTGCATCCAGTCCAGGCAACGCCGCAGACGAAGATGTTCTCCTCGAAATCAAGGAGATTTCCGTCTCAGTACCCCAGCGCAAGAAATACGAGCTCTGCTTCACCGCAAACTACCTCTACTCGCGCGCTCCGGGCACCACTGCGCCCGTGGAGGGCATCGTCTACGCCTGGGAGGACATCGGTGCGTCGCTCTTTTACTCGGAGAGATAGGCACCGCAATCCAAAGCTAACCAACTGCACAGAGTACGCCTTCTACCTCCCCGTGCCCGAAAAGACCCAGGTTCAACACAACTACGTCCTCTTCCCAAGGGGAACCTGCCTGCCAACGAAAACGGCGCCCGAGAAGGAGGCCCTCGTCTTCACCGTCCCCTCGACGCCCCCGAAGCAAGGCACCATCGCAGGACCGAAGGCCAACGCTGCCGCCGCCGTCTCGGACACCTACCGCACCCTCTTCGACTGGGCCCTGACCACACATCTCAGCTCTGCAGGCAACAAAGCCGAGATCGTCGCCGCGGACCCGTCGAAGTTCCACAGCCTCGTCCGCCAGCCGCACCGTCCCAACGAGAAGGCCGTGCACGTCAAGGCCTTCCGCGGGTCCAAGGACGGATACCTCTTCTTCCTGCCCAACGGCATCCTGTACGGGTTCAAGAAGCCGCTGGTCTTCCTGCCCACGGACCGCATCGTGGCGGTGAGCTACACCAACGTGCTGCAGCGGACGTTCAACATGGTGGTTGAGGTGTTTGGCGAAGGCGACGCGACGGAGGAGATTGAGTTCGGGATGTTGGACCAGGAGGACTACGCGGGCATCGACGAGTCCTACGTCAAGCGTCACCGGCTGCAGGATCGCAGTATGGCGGAGCAGAGGAAAGCCAAGATGGAGCTCACGGAGAATCTGAAGGCGAAGAAGGGCGAGGAGGCAGAGGCGAATGGGGACGCTGGGACGGGTCTGTCCGAGCTGGCGAAGGCGCACCTGGAGGCGGAACAGAATCCCCAAGATGACGAGGACGAGGATGAAGAGGATTACGACCCTGGCAGCGAGGGAGAGAGTGAAGGTTCTGGGTCCGACAGTGACGATGACGATGACGATGATGATGAGGGCGATGATGACGATGAGGAGATGGATGATGGTGAGGGCGAGGAGTAAGATGCTTGGTACTTGCGATGGATTCGGTTGCGGTAGACTGCCGCGAGATTGGCGAAGTGTACGATATCACGCCGTCGAACAGTGACGGACACCGACGTCTCTGCAAACTGGCATATAGAGAGAAAGGCGCATCGACGTAGCCCGGTATGAATACAGACGTTGCTCACGGAGCAACATTACGCATCTAGGACACACTTCCGTTATGGATGGGTTCCGCCATGGCTGCCGCCGCCATTTGTGTGAAGGACCCGATGCCCTGGCTACTCTAGGTCTACTACTCATGACGACAGCACTCTATGAGAAACCAATCAGCAAGAGCACCCTCTATGGCCATGTAAGCGTCTATCTCAGGGCGGTGAGAGATGAATGTTGCGCTCTCCCTCTCCTGCCCCGTTTTCTTTTTCTCGGGGAAGTGTGGTGGGGGTGGCGATGCCAAATCTCGTTCCATAGAGCCATCTGCCACTCCCAAGACGCCGATTTTTCATCGCGCAATATCCGAGACTCGGTAGAATTTGCCATTACTGGCTCTTAGCATGTCTTCAAGGTACTGTCGGACATGATGGGGCCTTGTCAGTGTAATTTTCGGTCGTGTAGAAAACATACAAAGCAGTATTCATCATCTATTGATGATGGGTCAGGTTGTTGTCTGTTACACTCGGCGTCATCTGAATAACCGGCCCGAGACCAGGGTCTTTTCGGCTTGTAGGAGAGGCATTCGGAGTCCGGACGGCCGTTGATGGAGTTTCCCCATGACTAACACAAATGTGGCCAAATAGAATTGGTCTATTTGGTATCCCCCAAGGGCGTTGAGTTATGCTAAGACCTCCCTCAGCCTGGCGAGTTGAATAGACGTGCTGCTCCTTGTCTCTCAAAATTATCTGGGGTTCTGATAAGTGGCGCAAATACGAGCAGAACATTTGCTGCCACCCGGAAGTCTGCTAGAAAGAGTCTTGTATCCGTTGACAGCTTGGGATTGAAGGACCTTAAATACTATGCCTACCATCAGCGATATGAATGCCTTAAAGTTTCTATACAACGCAAATAGTGTAATATGTAGACAGTCTTGATGAGACTTGAACAAGAAGTCAGTTCCGGGACTAAGTGCTCAGCAACCATCACGATTCCCATAATGTGTTGGCTTAGGCGGTCTGATTTCTCCTAGCTCCTCTCCAGCATTGGAGGCCTTCAAATCGATAGCAATCTCCGGAGTCTCATCAGGATGTTCCAAGTGTTTGTCATGTAACTACTTCTTCCCGCTACCGATAAGTGCGCGCCGCCTTGCTGCCCTCCCTTGAAAACCATCTTGAGTCAGGCCGACGTTGCACCAAAATAGCTGAAAGCCATCATCGCGACATGGCAATTCGCTTACTGAAGCTAGGGTCCGTTGGCCCACACCACGATGGCGGCTCACCTGAGCGCCAAGTAGCTGCATATTGCAAAATTGGGGATGTTAGCCATACACCGCGATTGCTTGAGCCTTCTTTCAATGTCGTCCGCAAAGTCTAGCCCTATTTGACCCAGACGTCCGAGGATTAAACTGCATGTGACATATCACACGCTTCGTCCACGCTGAACACTTGCGCGGCATCAGGTCGGCCACCGGGGGCTACACACGGCCCGGCAGAACGAGACACGCCGACGTTTTCCCCCGTCGAGCAGAAAGGATGCCTTTGACAGTCAACTAGCGACTTGGCCGAGTTCAGTGGGAAATTGGCGGGAATATCGGGGACTCAAGCGCTATCTCGTCTCAGCCTAGCTGAATGCCTCTCGTTCAGATCGTAGAATATAAGAGACTCCAGGTTGCCCACTGCTCAATAGAAAGCTCTTAACATTGCAACAAGCAGCTCATCAATACAATTCGCAACAGATACCACACATCATGAGATTTCTGGCGTGTCTTTGGCCGTACGCACTCTTCGGTGCTTTGGTCCAATCGCTCCAATGTGCAGAACCACTCGTGCGCAAAGAATGGTATTTCGGGCAGAACCTGAATATGATTGTTCGTTTACTGACGATCTCAACCGTTAGGCGTTCATTATCGATTGAGGAACGTTCAAACTACATCGCAGCCGTAAAGTGTTTACAAGCCAAGGAACCGACTTCGTCCAAAGACACCCTCCCGGGCGCAACCAACCGATTTGAGGACTTTGTGGGAGACCACATACTCCAAACCGTGACGCAGCACTTCACCGTAAGTACCCAAGTCATTTAGTGGCGAGCGCTAACCAAACTCAGGGCACATTTCTTGCTTGGCATCGACTCTTTCTGTCTGAATACGAACAAGCCATACGAGAATGTGGCTTCGAAGGCGCCCAGCCATACTGGGACTGGTCTCTCGACGCTGAAGATCTTGGGGCATCGGAAGTATTTGATCCAGAGTCCGGTTTTGGGGGAAATGGCGAGTGGGTTCCAGGTACCTTCGAAGACCCCGAAGAAGGCATTCCCGTCACTGCAGAAGGCGTGCCTGTTTCTTTCGATGGCCGAACAGGCGGTGGCTGCATCCCAAACGGACCTTTCGCAAACATGACGATTCACATGGGGCCGGGCGCCAGCACGGCGTACTACGAGTGGTGTGTCAGACGGGACTTCATGCCGCAATTCTTCAATGAATCGGCGCATTCCACCGTGATTGCTGGGCTGATGCTCTTGCCCGATTTTGGGCAGCTGACCCGTCAAGCCGAGATCAGCGTCCATGGCGCCGGACATCCGGGCGTTGGTGGTTTATATGGAACATTGACTGACACTTACTCCAGTCGTAAGTCCCATATCTTGTTGCTGATCAATCTGCGAAGTGCTGCTGACAAGCAATCAAGCCGGAGATCCTCTATTCTATCTTCATCATACCAACCTGGACCGACTTTGGTGGTCATGGCAGTCAAGGGATCTGTCCTCACGGCTGAGCGATATCTCTGGTCCTATCGTCGCTAATGATTGGACAAACGAGGTGGACCGCAACGTCA